CGATTGCATGCCAAGGTGCGCGTAAGACAAACTAAAGGTGTAAGTGATCATGTAAGGTAGGCCAAGGTGAGATACGATGCTTGGCCTAAGTGTGAGGTCTAGGTAAGAGTGATCTCGGTGACTACACCTCGGGAAGTAAGGTTTTGAGATTTGGGTTTCCACCCGTGAAGAACAGGAAGAACATGAACATGAAGATCATGAAGAACATGAATGCCAAAATCATAACTTCTTTACTTACAAAATCTGGGATTTCATGCTATGATTTCGAAAACATGGACCTGGGTACCCATATTTGGAAATCATATGAAAACAAACACAAAAACATGGATCTAGGCATGAGCTTTCGGATCAAAACATGACTTTTCTTGAAGAACAAATGAATGCTATTTTCTCTTTCTAAAACCGAACTTCAAAGCAATGCATGGCTTACAAATCATATTCAATCATGCAATGCAATAACATAAACATAAAGAACAACAAGAGCAGATCAAGAATCTAACCTTAGAACACGGATCTAACGGTTCGATCTCTAGGGATCAAGTTTGGAAATCTACTCTCCCTCAAGAACTTATCTCCCTCTTCTAGAGCTTCTCTCTCCTCTTCAAAACAAAGATATAACAAATGATAGGTTTTCTCTCTCTATCGGCTGACTTAACGCTCAGCTCGAACACGTGGCAACGGCTAGTTGGTTCTCCTCAAAAAGGTGATAGATTGACAAGACAAGACCATAACAAAGTGTATCTAACAAGCTACTCGGTAAGGCACTCCGGCAAGTGATGACATCGACTAAGAACAAAGTTTCGGCAACTAAGGTGACAATGACCTCGGCTAGGAAGGACAACACTTGACTAAGTTGTGCCACACCTTGGCCTAGATGTGCCACACGTCGGTCTAGGTCATACCACTCCAAGACAAGATCACTTGGGCGCAAAGGTAACATCTCGGCCTAGATAATACACATCTCGGCCTTGGTGATGAACACCTCGGCCTAGATAATGACATCTCGGCCAATATGTCAGGGCGAAGGTGGAGGTCAAACAAAGGGGTTCCAAGATAACTTCTAGACTGAAGATGACCTCGGCTTGGAATGATCTAGGCGTAACATGACCTAGGCTTGACATAACCTAGGCTTAACATGACTTAAGCTCGAGACACCAAGGAAGGAACACAGCATGCACACAAGACTTAGACAAATCACATAAACACAAAACAAGGCATGGACCTTACTTAAGCAAAACAAGTTACAAACATGCAAATGCAAACTTAACGAGTTGTAATCATACAAATGCTCATGAACATGACTAAGACATAAATGTGGGTTGTTACAGGATGGGTCTATAATTTTAAAGTAATAATATCATAGTAAATGTTGGTATATTAATTAACATACCAATTGGTACATATAACACACTTATACAAAATTCATTTTCTACTTATTTAGCCCTGTTCGGGGTTAGACTGTTTTAATTTAAAAGTAAAAAGTTATTATAAATTATCATATTATTTTTTTTATAAAAATTCAAAAAATAACTAAAATAATATAAATTCTCAAACCACTTTTAGGAATTGATTTTTAATAATTTTATTAAAAAATATGTGAAACAAATAAAGGGAATATGTTGATTTTTTATATTATTTTTTTTTTCAAAAAAAGCTTTGGTAGCCTTCGGTTTAGTTTTGGAATTGTGATTCTCTTTTTTGAGTTGTGATTTGAGTGTGGAATTGTGAGTTAAGTTTTGAAAAGAGAAAATTTGTTTGGCTATGAGTTTTGAAAAGTGTTTTAAAAGAAGTTTTGAAAAAAGTTTTTGAATTTTTAATTTTGAAAAAAATTTTGAGTTTTGAAAAAAGTTTTGAGTTTGAATTTTGAGTTGTATTTTGAATTTTTTTGATTTTTTTTAAATATTAAAAAAATGTTTAAGAAAATTTTATTATTTTTATTTTAAATATATAATTTTAATTAATTTTTTTAAATTTTTTTGTTTTAAACATTTTATTTTATTTTGTAAATATTTTAATTTTTAATTTTAATATTTTAAACTCAAAACACAACTTCACACTCAAATCGTAAACAAATATATAACTCAAAACTCAATTCAAAAATTATTTTCAAAATTTATAACTAAACACATAACTCGAAACTCTACACTACTTTCAAAACTCTACACTTAAATCATAACCAACACATAACAAAAAAAAATTAAAATATTTAAAATATATTTATAAAATAAAATAAAATAAAATATTTAAAATATAAAATAAAAAAAAATATTTAAAATAAAAAATATATAGTTAAAATAAAAAAATTTAAATTTTTAAATATTTTAAAATATTTAAATAAAATACAGCCTAAAAATAATTTTAAAAAACAAAATAAAAAATATTTTTTAAAATTTTTTATTTTAAAATAGAGTTTTGAAAAGAATTGTTTTGAGTTTTGAAAAAAAAATTGAATTGAGTTTTGAGTTGTGTGTTTAATTATAAATTTTGAAAAGTGATTTGAAAATTGTGTCCTTTCCAAAGATAAACCAAACACAACCTTTAAGTCCCTTTAATAAGTGGTTAAAATAATGAGAAAAAAAAAATTAAAAGAATGAAATAGTCAAAAAAAATCATATTCTTTTTTGTTTTCTTTATTTTTACACGATTTTTCATAAAATTTTTAAAATTATTCTAAATATTTTTAATTTTTTTTAATTTCATATATTAACCAAAAATTTATTTAAAAAATATTTTTCATACGAACATTTAATGATTAGAATATTATTTTCATATGAAAAATTAGTTCAAGAGTAATGTTAGAAATTTCAAAAAAATTATCAAAAATTCTACTAAATGTCTCATTTGAGTGTAAAACGCACACAATATGGGTCTCATGAAGGTCTCACATTCATATGAGACATTTGGTATAATTTTTGATTAAATTTTTAAAATTTCTAGCATTTTTGTTAGTTCAAATAAAACAATATATAAAACTTATTACTTACCAAAGTTAATGGTAATAAGTTTTTCTATCCAATTTCTTTTGTTTTATTGATTTTGTAGTTTTTTTTTTTGGAAATTAGTCTAAGGTCATTCTTCCATTTTTAGTAATAGAATAAATTCACAATATTATTGTATGATGTCTAAAGTCCCTCAACTCTACACCGATATATCACAGAGAAATTTTGTTACCGACAGAGTCTCAAAGGCGAAAACGATCTATGTAGTTTCGTAGCAATTGATGACGAAGGCTTCAAAGTATTCTTCTTGCTCAAGTTCGACGCCAATGGGAAGTCCATCGCCGTCAACTTGTTTTGCTTCGATTAACGAAAAATTGTATCTTTTTCATTTGCAAGTCCAGAGCTTTCAAATCCAAATTGATATGAACCAACACTGAGAACCTTCACAGTTGTAGAGAGAGAGATTAAAAATTGAAGCGAATCACGAAGAAAAAGAGAGAGAGTGCAGACATCAAATTAGTAAAACACATGCACATCAAATTCTTCTGCTTTTTGTTGTCATTTTTTATTTTTTATGTTTTTGAAAAAAATAATAATGAAAAAAATTTGAGAACAAAATAATGATCTAATTTGATTTTCTGAAATTTTTTAATCTCTTCTACTCACCTTGGTTCTAGCTCTTCTTCTGCAACTATACATCAAAAGACAAAAATATTAGAGAGAGAGAGATTAGGCCAAACTGAGACTTGAACTTACTTTGTCTAGAAAAATTTGGAAAGAATTTCTTTGGAGAGTGGGAAATCTAGAGAAATTTTGAGAGAATATCTCTAGGGATTGAAATTTCTCTGGATCGATGTGTGAGGAACCTTAAATATTATGAAAATATTGAATGTCATTTATACTATAAAATCTTAATATCAGGGAGTTTAAAAAAAAATATATCTCCCAAAATTTCCCTTTCGATAGAGCATATCTAATATCTCACATTTTATTTGATTAATTTAAATTTAATAAAAAAAATATTTTCAATTTTTCATTAATAAATATTCATCAAAATTAATGGAGAGTTATTTTTTCATCAAAAAATAATTCATCAAATTTGAATTTCTTAAAATTTAAGAAGATGAAGCGATAGGTAAGAGAAAATTATGAAAAATTTAGGAAAAATTACACTTGATTTTTTTAATCAAATTTAATAATAAAAAAAAGTGAAATTTAGGGTAAGAAACAAATTTTAATTTGTTAATGAAATAATTAGAGTAGTTCATAAATTTTTTATTTAAATAGAGTCCAATAATTTATTACTGTGAAAGAGCTCGTGGAAGTGTATAGGCGAAGAAAACGTTAAAGCTTGTATATATGTATGAATATGGGTAGGCATGGTGAGTTGTCTTTCTATTCTCTTGGCAACAGCCACTCTTTTTGCATTACAAAAAAAAATAGGAAAATGTCTCGTAGTTCAAATTTTATGGCTCAAAAGTGGCTCAAAAGGCCAAAACATGCCATTTTTATGTTGTTCTGTACTCAAAACGACGTCGTTTTGACCATTTGAGCCACTTTTGAGCCACAAAATTTGAGCTACGTAGCATTGTCGATTACAAATACACTTCTTGAGATTGCTTAAAATAAGAATTATTTATTGTAGTTATGGAAATTATATTGCATCCCTTAAAATTTTTAAATTCCTAACAAATAACTCATTTTATTAATAAATTATCAAAACAATTAACAGTTTTTAATAATATCAAAATTTTATTTAAATTAATAATTTAAGTAATTTTATTATTATATAAGAGGGTAATTAAGAATTTTATTTTTTTCAGTTAATTCTGTCAAAAAAATTATAACAATGAAATATTTGTAATTTTAAAAGTCACAGGAATAATTCGTATTTTAAGTTGTAATTTATCAACCCAAAAAAAAAATATTAAATACAAAAATTACAAAATATACCCTAATTGTCAAGCAAACAACAAATAAACCCCTAAAAATTGTAATCTTACGACGTCGTATGATGGCTTCTTCTTGTCACGGTGATAAAAAGCTTCGAGTCCGATAATAATTCACCTGATTCACCTGTTGTCTCTCTCTCTCTCTCCCTCCTCCTTCATTCAGGCTTCAGACTCCTCTGCAAAACCCAATAGCGACACTACAAAACACAACCAGAGAAGAGAAACAAGCAGATTCACACAAACCAATTTCTAGAGAGAGAGAGAGAGAGAGGATCATACAATTGAGCCGCATATATACACACATTTTTATACACACACATATGTATATATAAGCTGTGAAGTGGGAAGAATGGCGTTCCAGGGATTTGGGAAGAACTCAGGTCCAAGTGCAGCCCCCACATCACAAAACCCTTTTCCCCACTTCCCTCGCCCTCCTTCCTCAACTCCTCCTTTCTCCGCTTCTCCCCTTCAACGATCTCCCACGTACTCTCTCTCTCTCTCTCTCTCTCTCTTATATATATATATATATATACATGTTATAGAACATAAACTAGTTTGAATGCGTCTTTTTTATTGGTATTAGATGTTTTGAGCCTTGAGAGATAACCCAGTAATATATTTGATTGTTGAGTTACATGTGAAGTGAAGGAACCCTAATTAGACAATGATTCGGTGGATAAGGAAAAGGGTTTCAAACTGGTCACATTGTTGATCTTTTGAAAAGGGTCTCATAAAGAAAGAAATAAAGTTATTGAGAAGCCCCTACAATTCAACAAAAAATTAAGCTTTTAGATCAGTTGGTTCGAATCTCACTGCCTACCTAGCTAATCGTGTTGTGTTTTTTTTGTTTTTTCTGTTCTTTTCTTTTCGGCTAGGTTGAGTTTTGGTTTCTCACAGTGAGTGTGAGCCTATATAGGCTTACGTTGTATGTACCAGTGGAACAATTCTTGCATCTGGATTGAAGTATTTGGAATTTAAGAGCTACCTTGAGTTGTGTACGATTGTCTTGTGTGTTGTATTAATTCATGTTCTAGCTTTTTCTTTTTTTCTTTTTTTTTATTTATTGCTATTGACTCTTCAGGGGCCACCTGCCAATACTGCAGCCAGTATCCTATTTAAATTTGTGCTTTCCACCCCCTTTCTTCTGCTCCCTTTGTGCCTTCTTCATATGTCTGTTTAATGTTTATGTCGTTGTGCCCCATACAACCATTAGGGTAGAATCTATGCAATTTAGGACATTGAATAGAGAGGTGATGCCATAACAAGAAGAGCAAGAAAAAGAGTAAAATTATTGTATTTGTGTTTTATTTATCAAAAAAGAAGAAAAGGAGTAAAATTAAAGAAGCGGCAAAATTTGAAAATTGGTTGGTTTTAAGCTGGATTCAATTGCGATCAACTAGAACCATGTACAGTCAAATGGGTAGCATTAGTGGAGCCTCTTATTTCATGATTATCTAGATTAGGTAATCTCACTACTTTTCTAAGTGTTTTATGGTGTTGTTTAAGTTTGGATATTTTGGTAATTTCAAAATTTTCCATAGACGGGTAGTAGAGTCCATGGATCAACTTTTGAGTCAAGAGATATGTCCCCACTAACCATTGTTGTAATTATGTTATCGAAGCTGTTCTTGCTTTCATATGATTTGTTGGGAAAGCTTATGGATTTTTTGTTCTGTAATAGGGAACTTGAAGCTCCAGAGAGAACATATTCGCCACCATCACATTTTCAAAGCAGCCGCTTTGTAATGGGTCCTGCTTATCCTTCTTCAGCAGTACTTAGGTAACAAATCATGCAAACTTATAGCTTTATAATGTCTTACTTCCTTATCCGTTAAAGGGATCTCTCCTTTTTCCTCAAACTTGATCCTTTTGGGAGCATTTGCTCATAAGGGTTGTGCATCTGTTGGCATATAATTTGTTAATTTTTATACATTTTTATAAAAATCAATATATCTTATAATGTATTATTGATTGCTATATTTTCTCTTAGGCCCATTGAGTCTTCTCCTAAAGCAGGTGACACCGGGCAAAAATCTTTCTATAGTTATGATGCCCAAACTCATCAAAGGCCTTCTGCAGTCACTTCATTTCTTGATTCACAAAATTCTGGAGCTTACGTCCCTGCCAAAATTACGTCACTTCAAGACCTGAAAAGAACCAGACCACCTCAGTTGCTGTCTACTGATGAAGATGGTGTGAGAAACACTAGAAGGGGCAGTACGAGGTAAGTTATTTTATCGCGTGTGAAGTATTATTTATCGGTAGCATTGAATTTGCTTCTTGTTGCACATAACATGGTGAAACCTATACCTCTATGTCCACTGTATAGTTATTTTGTTATTAGATTTTATGCAGTGGTTGAAGTGTATTATGTTGAACATTTAGTTTTCCTTCTTTTCTTCTTGTCTGTGCAGTCACTGTCAAGCCATTAATTCTTGTGAGGAATTGGCTACTTATATCGGAAAATGTTATATGCACATATTAACATAGTAATGTCTTATTCATAGGTTTTCTGCCTTCATATGGAATAATGTTTGATGGTAAAGGGAAAATAGGCGTTCATCTCTAATAATGTTGTCCTTGGAGGCAATGTGATGAAGATCATGAAAGGAACACTAACTGAGAGCTTAGTTTCTAGGAGTTTAATTTGTTATTAGAGTTATCTTAGGATTAGGTTTTCTTTGGTCGGCTATGTTTAAGTTTATGTTAGGGGTTCAGGAATTCCATTACATGCTTTTCTGGTTGAGCTGCATTGGACCTTATACTTGAAGTATATAAGATTTTACACTGGACAATGTCATGAAGGATATACAATTTCTCAATAGCTTGAGTTACTTTCTCTGAAAGTAGTATTATACCTATTCATGGGCTTTTATATACTTAAGTTCCATCTTAATTTAAGGGAGGCCATATGTTTGGTGGCCAGTAATGAATTAAATGAGATTTCTTAACTCACCTTCACCCATCTATCAATTTTATTCTAATCGTTCTATCACTTGTTCTACATGACAAATAGCATTTTAAAGACTTATTGTCTTCTATTGCTGTTTATTTTGAGTATCTAACGACTTTTGCTTTGTTTATTTGGGTAGGCCTTCAGATTCGCTCTTCAATGATCATAGGCAGGCTGTACCTCAGAGGCCACGACCACCTTCTTTTTTCCCAGAAAACTATCATTCTGTTGACAATTTTGGTCCTTTTGTTGAAACTCAGAGGTATTTGTAACATAAACTGTGCCTTCTGTGTGTGTGGGCAGGTGCTTGTTACTGTGTATTTGTTAATGTTATGGAAAATTTAAGCATGTTGCTCATACTCAAGCAATGCAAGTGGAAAGTTAGAATCCAGTAACAATTTCCACTGCATCTGGAGGATAAAAACATTGAATGTTTTGTCTATTATGCACCATGTGCTATGACATTGCTATTCTAGATGTTGGTCTCTTTTGATGAAAAGTAGGGATAAAATCATGAATAATAGGTCCAAAATTATATGATCTGGTATATAGTTGAAACCGCAGATCTCTTAATTATAACATGTCTTGTGCTGCACCAGACTCCCATGGGATACTGTGCATTTGGACCCATGGTTGGGGTTAAGGTTTGGGATGCAAGTACCTTGACAACGTCTACCGGGATGGGCATATATCGGGACTATTAGGTAACCTGCTCTGAATATCCATACCGGATGGGGTTCGAAGCCCTTTTAACGGGCGTAGATGTGGGCTCATTTTGGGTTTAGGAGGCTTGCTTTGCCTTATCCCATGCCAATGATATAGTATCTTACTAAATACCTGTCTAAAAAATTGTCAAAATTGCGGTTCGCAGAGCTCTTTTGGTATTTATTTGGTTGCTCATTGTTGTAAAATGATAATGAAGAATATTACCATTGTTGGTTGAATGGTTAAAGTCATGTGCTTTTTATTAAGAGAAATTTCTGTTCATTTCGTACATGCTCTAGTTAGTAGCACATAGTTTATCCTAAGATATGTGTAATTTTCCCGAGATTTATCTGATTATGCTGTGATTTGTCATACAGAACTGCCGTATCTCCCCCTGTATGGGGTAACCAGGCAAAGTTGCCGAGCAATTTTAGCAACTCATGGACACGCCAAGACCAGCCTGCAGTCTTACCTTATGATTCTAGAAAAAAATTTGCAACCAAGAATGTGGATGCTCAGGCCCCAAAAAGAACCAGGTCCCCACCTATACCATCTGCAGATGAAGTTTCCCAGGAAAATTCTCATTTTAGTCGAAATGATTCTAAAAGGTATAAGTAAAGCAAGCAGATTCTGAGTGTGATCAATATTTTAGCCTTTTCTTTTTGAGAATTTTTTGAATGTTACAATGAAAAATATCAATTTTTTTTTAGCCAAGATGGAAGAAGATACCTTTGCAACTTAAAAGTAAATTTCCTTGAAGAATCTTAAACGCTAGAAGATTATGACAAGAACATCATTAACTCAATAAAGACTCAAGCAATGAAAGAAAAAATATAATTACCCTTTGCGATTCAATATGATTCAAAGATGATATTCCCAATTGTGATGAAAGCAATTTTAAATTCTTAAGAAATATCAATGGAATCTATTCAACTTTATAATTTCAAGTTGATGAAAATATGGCATTATTAATCCTCAACACCCTTACCCCCACCAAGCAGAGAGAGAACACTTATTTCGTTAAAGATTTTTCATTTGAGATCTTGGTATATGGAATTTCTAGATGAATTGTGGAAATGAAAATTGATGAAAGAGAGCTCCTAGGACTCTAGGAGATAAAGAGTATATTATTTGTCCTCTTTATTGTGTCTCTTTTGGATGATGATTTTTGCAATTCTCTCTCCTGCCCCCAACCTCAGATAAATAAATTGTAGATTTTCCTTGTTCAGACCTTCTCCATCACCTCCTAGATTGGGCACAAGATCAAATAATCTTTCCAAAGCTCCTGATTCCGAAACTCCTTATATGCCCCTGCCATCTGCACGGAGTATTGACGATAAAACTGCTTCAACTAAGCCCACCAACTTTCCAGTTCCCAAAAGAACTAGATCACCTCCTTTGCCTTCAACTGATCAAGTCTTTCAGGGCAACTCTTCTGCTCAAGATGACATTGAACGGTAAATTGTTTTGTGCATTTGAATTCATTTGTCATTAACTAGTATTTTTCTTTAAAATTTTAGTTAGTTTCTTATTTCATTTCCCTCGTGATTTGCAGAGAAATGCAAGCCAAAGCAAAGCGATTAGCCCGCTTCAAGGTGGAACTTAGCCAACCTGTTGAAAGCACTTCTGGCATTGGAAACCAAAAGTTTTTTGTGAATAAGCATGATCAGCCTTTGACAGAAAGGCGAAAAACGTTGGGGGAACATTCTACGGACATGGCTTCCGATGGCAATGTTCTGCCTGATTATGAAGGACTGGAATCATCTACTATTATAATTGGATTATGTCCAGATATGTGTCCAGGTACATGTCTCTACTTTTTGATCAAGGTGCAAGCATTTTAATTATAGAAGCTGCAATGTTGAGGTCATAAGTCAATGCTAACTTCTCTTCTCTCTCTTTTATTTTTATTTTTATTTTTGTTTTTATTTTTATTTTATAAATATAAAATTGCTTTAAAAGAGCAGCAAGGGGTTGCAACATGTATGAAAAAGAAACTAACAATTTCAAAATTAAAAAAACCTCATAGAATATTAGTCTTGTTGAATCATTCTTTGTTACAGAGAAAACTTCCATTCTGAAACTAAGAAATTCAGTCTATTTCACTCTCTTGTAATATGATCGTTTATCTAATTCCTTTATTCTGAATTTTATAGTTAGTAGTCCCATCTAGTTCTCTTCTATGTTGAAGCCACTAGCTGTCCTTGTTTTTCATGTGGAGGCTTCTAACAGTATATTAATTTAACTGAGTATATAGCCCTTGATAGTGGTGAAAAAGGTTTCATGTAGTGACCCCACTTGAGTGGAACACAAGGCTTAGTTTGTTGTGTTGTTGTAGGCTTCTAAGAGTATATAAGGTTTTGAAAATTTGTATGATCTTATAATGTGTCAGATTCTTGTTCTGTATTCAGAATCTGAAAGAGCAGAGAGAGAGAGGAAAGGGGATCTTGATCAATATGAACGCTTGGATGGAGATAGAAATCAAACCAGCAAGTCCCTCGCTGTTAAGAAGGTACTCTATGAAGCTCTATTTTTCTTTTGGTACCCAAAAGAAAAATATATATACGATTGAGATATTTATCCTATTAGAGGTGGTATGATGGGTGTTCTTATATGATTCTTGCAGTATACTAGGACAGCAGAGAGGGAAGCAGACTTGATAAGACCCATGCCAATCCTGCAGATGACAATTGATTATCTTCTGTATTTGCTAGACCATCCTTATGATGACAAGTTTCTTGGTTTATATAACTTCTTGTGGGATAGGATGAGGGCAATTCGGATGGATCTGAGGATGCAACACATTTTTAACCTTGATGCTATTACCATGTTGGAGCAAATGGTATGTCCTTTTCCTATAGATTTAATCTCATTTTCTCAAAGGTAAATTGGGGTCTCTTGACAACATGGTGTGTACTATTCTGGCACATGTTAGAATGATCACTCAATGGCGCTGAGTCAGATGAGGTGTAGGATGAAAAAAGTCTTCTTCTTGAATGACTAGTAGTCCATATTTCTATGTTGATACGTGTGTTGATGTGTATTTTATTTTTTGAATTCTTCAAAGTTTTGCTATTTGGGTTACTAGTAGTAACTAGGGTAGCCTTTATCTTTGCCACAGATTGACAGATTGCTTATAGTTGGTGACATGGGCTTAAGTTACTTCATTTTGTTCTTGAGTTCAGCCGCACTGCACCTTTTTACTTATATTTTCATTCATCTTCAATTCGTGTATTAATTGTTGTGTGTTGTGTTGAATTGACATTTGTTGGTTGCTAAAATGCCACTTAACTCTTTAGACAACTAAATGGTATTGTTGATTGCTGTGGGTTTCAGATAAGACTTCACATAGTAGCCATGCATGAATTATGTGAATATACAAAAGGAGAAGGCTTTTCGGAGGGATTTGATGCACACCTTAACATTGAACAGATGAACAAAACTTCTGTTGAATTGTTTCAATTGTATGACGACCACAGGAAGAAAGGAATGCAGGTGCCAACGGAGAAAGAATTTCGAGGTTATTACGCGCTTCTCAAGCTGGACAAACATCCTGGATACAAAGTAAGTCATCAACATTGGGCACTCCATTTTACTTTTTTTGGTTTCAATTCTTGTCCGTGTAAATAAAGATATCTGTGCCAGGTTGAACCTGCAGAGCTCTCGCTTGATCTTTCCAAGATGACACCGGAGATAAGGCAAACCCCAGAAATATTATTTGCCCGTGATGTAGCAAGGTTGTTTTGCCCCTTGCATATGAAGTTACTGAATAAGACTACCTTCATATGACTGAATCTAATAATGGGTAGTATTTTTGTCCTTCCAGAGCCTGCAGAACTGGTAATTTTATAGCTTTCTTTCGACTTGCAAGAAAAGCGAGTTACCTCCAAGCATGCCTAATGCATGCTCACTTTGCAAAGGTATGGGTAATGGTTCCTTTGTGATCTTAATGCTTATGATAGGAATTTATATAATCAATTCTATTTAAAGCATGAGTTTTCTTTATGCATAGTGTTGTGAATAATGCATTGGAGTTAGTAAAAGCTCACGTTTCTACATATGGTGAATTTTATTGAATCATGCTCTTTTCTATGTTTTTGATGGGTATTACACTCAACTCAAGTTATCTGTGCATGCACATGTCTGCGCTGACTAAAATAAATTGTCTCATTGCCATGTTATCACGAACAGTTGCGAACCCAAGCACTTGCTTCTCTACATTGTGGTGTACAAAATAACCAAGGTATCCCTGTCACACATGTTGCCAAATGGCTTGCAATGGAGGTACTTATTCTTTGTCTTGATGCATATTGCCAAGCAATTTCCAATTTCTCCGTCTTTAAATCTATGCTTCATTGTCTGAAATCAGGAAGACAACATAGAAAACCTGTTGGAGTATCATGGCTTTGTGATAAAGGAATTTGAAGAGCCATATATGGTGAAGGAAGGGCTATTTCTCAACAGTGATAATGACTATCCAGTGAAGTGTTCGAAACTTGTTCATATGAAGAAGTCACGAAGGATAGTTGAGGATGTTTCATCTCCTCATACAATAGTGTCATTACCTGCTGAAGAAGAAAGAGAGGTCCAGTTGGTTAAGGTCTACGAGAAGGAATCAAAACCTGTTCAATTCAATGGGACAGAAAGTCATGCCCAGGTCATTGATGAGGAAATGGATGATTATGAAGCCGTGCCATCCCCAAAAGATGGAACACAAGTGAAGCCCATGGTCAAACCATTAGTAATTGGTCAACAGAGTGAAGATGTCTTTCGGATAGATACCATAAGTCCCTTGGCACGGGATTTCTCCTTGGCACATAATTCCCCTAAATCTCAGCAAGCTAGAGTTGGAAGCATGGGGAAACCAAATTTTGATCCCGTCTTCCGAAACTCTCTGGAGAGAAAAACACATTCTGACACAAAAGCCGTTCCATTGGAAATCATGTCGGAAAGAGTTGGCCAAGAAAAAATTGCAAGTTTTGAATTTGATTCTGCTATGGAAAATTATGTCCCTCAGAAAGTGTTTATCGAAGATTTGGAAGATGAAGAGCATACATATGATCAAGATGTTGAAACCGAGGAAGTTGAGCCTAGTTATCATGATGAGGAAGCTGCTGAGGCAAAACTCAAACTGATCTTCAGGTTGCAATTCTTTCTACTGATGTGACTGTAACTATGGTGTTTTCTGTCCTATATCTCACTCTTCTTGCATTTTTTTGGGTCAGATTATGGAAGCGTCGTTCATCAAAGAAAAGAGAGTTACGTGAACAAAGGCAGTTCTCTGCTATGGCCGCGTTAAATTCACTATCGATGGGCCCAAGAATTCGACAGAACATTGATGTAAGTATTATTATTGTTGGCATACCTCCTTTTGTCTTGTTGTCCCCCTCTTTTTGACTCATTATTTTAAGTATTGTTATTAATGACTATACAATTAAACTATGCGTTGACCATAAGAATTTTGCTATTGATCTTTTTAAACTGAAATATTTTGCTGAAGCTTCTAATTCTTTTTTCTTCTTATAAAGCAACCAAGCACTTCTGGTGTGTTCAACATCAACCGTGTTATGCATGAAAGATACGAAAGACATGAAAGATCATGGTCAAGGCTAAATGTTTCAGATGTGATAGCTGCTACACTTAATGAAAGAAACCCGGCTGCCAAATGTTTTTGCTGGAAAATAATTTTATGCTCTCAGACAGACAATCCAGATGGCGACAGGCTGCAGCAATCGAGTCAGGTTGCTCATTTTACTGCAGGCTCCTGGTTGCATTCTAAGCTCATTCCTACCAGCAAAGGTGATGATGATGTAATAATTTCATCCCCGGGCCTGTCAATATGGAAGAAATGGGTTCCCAGCCAATCTGGTGGTGACACCACGTGCTGTTTGTCTATCGTCAGGGATGCAAAACTTGATGATACGAATGAGATATTATTAGGTGCAAATGCAGCTCTTTTCCTTGTATCTGGAAGCATCTCATTGGAGATCCAAAAGTTTCGGCTCCATAACCTTCTTATGTCTTTACCTTCTGGTTCCCAGTTGCCCCTTCTAATCGTAATAGACTCGTATGAAGAAAATTCAGATTCTTCATCCATCATGGCTGAACGATTGGGGCTCCATGACATTGACAATTCACGGGTAAATAAAATTTCGGTTGTTTTCCTTGCGAAGAACCAGCAATTGGAAGAGTTTGATGGGTTTTTCAGTGATGAGCAATTGAGAGGGGGATTGCAGTGGCTCGCAAGCCAATCACCCTTACAACCTATTGTTAGTTGTGTAAATACGCGTGAACTGACTTTGACCCACTTGAATTCTTCGCTGAAGGTGCTTGACGAGATGAGCGATTATGAAGTAGGTCCGGACCACTGTATATCGGCCTTTAACGAAGCCTTGCATCGAACAGTGGGAAAGGTTGCTGCTGCAGCTGATGCAAATCCTGCCTCTTGGCCTTGTTCTGAGATTGCTTTGCTGGAGAAGACTAGCAAGGAGTATGAAGCGGTGAAATTATATCTGCCAGACATCGGATGGAGTTCGTCAGCAAGAATTGAATTGCTTATTTGTGCTCTAAGAGACTGTCGACTTCCTTCATTTCATGACGACATATCTTGGCTCTACAGAGGTTCTAATTTGGGTGAAGATATTGAAAAGCAGAAACAAAAACTTGAAGATTGCTTGATCAGTTACCTTACCCAGTTGAGTAAAATGATGGGACTATCGCTGGCAACAAATGAGGCACGTGTAATGCTACAAAAGGGTGCGCGTCTTGAGCTCCATAACTCAACCTACTATATCATTCCGAAGTGGGTTATGATTTTCCAACGAGTTTTCAATTGGCGCTTAATGAGTTTATCCAATGGTGCATTCTCTTCTGCTTATATTCTGGAGCAGCTTGACACGGATATTTCAAAAACAGGTCTGGACATGTCGGGGATTCAAGGCATTGTATCTTCGTCTTATTATTTAACTCACCCATCTCTAGATGAAATGGTTGAAGTTAGCTATGGCTCTTTTGCATCGAGCATGGGTCATACAGAAGACAAGGCTTTCCAGCCTCCATCGGCAATGGTTTCTAATGGTAGTACTGTACAAGCTACCAATGCAGCCCAAAATGGTAACTTGTCTGAGACAAACAATGACAATTATATAGAGCATGGATCAACTGAAACTAGCAGCAGGTTAGTGGTGGCCACGAGAGAAGCTGACAAACTGAGCAAGTTGTTGGAGCAGTGTAATATGTTGCAGGACAGGATTGATAACAAACTATCGATTTATTTTTAATGAGGTTGACTTTGGAAAGGCTACCAAGGACAGAGTGAAGAATGAAAAACATCTGCTAACGCCCATGGGAGAAGATATTTTTTAGTTCAACAACGAATATCTTGAATTTACAAGAAATTTTTCCCCCTGGATTCAGATCCTGAATGCCATAACTTGGTGAAGGCGATTCACAAGAGAATCGTGCACAATTCCGTATAGGCATGAAGTTTTGTATAATTATGTATTTTTGCCAAGGAGTTTTATCCTTTTAATGAGCTTTGTAATTTGTTGGAGATGTTACTTTGCAGAATGAGGAAATATAAGATCTTTACATGTTTATTGCCTATCATTGCCTCTTTTTGTTTGTAAAATTGTACTTTTCATATTTCAATCAAATTTTACCTGATCTCACATTTGAAAACTCACTCCAATTTATAACAATTTTTTAATGTTCTCACAAGGCCCACACGTGAGTACTTTTTGTTCAAATTTTTTTATGATAAGTTACGAAATAATCACAAGTTAAAATATAAAAAATTAATTATTGCAATTAAAAGATAGAGCCAAAGTATGATTCAATTAAAACTTGGGGTGTTATTGTTATTTTTTTATAAATGCATTTGTAGTTAGTATTAACAATTTGAATATATCATCCACAAACATTTTTGTTCGAATAATTAGACTGCGATATTTGCCAGCACCCACAAAACAGTGGAAGTGAGATTTGAACAAAAGACTTCCTCAGGGTTTACTGTCGGTCTCACAAGACTCCAGGAAACAGCTACCAGCTCATGCTCATGGAGGGCTAGGGTTGGATAAAACTTCATTCACAAAGCACCTCTGTCACCATTACTTTTTAACTTTAGGGTGCTAAGAGGAAATGCAAACAGCAATTCATTCAGTGGCAACATAATTTGCTGTGAAGGAAATGGAATTACAGAAAAAAAAAAGAAAAGCACAAGAAAAAGAACGAGAGAAATTATCACTTCAGGAATTTACGCAGTAAATAGTAAGAAATTTTACATCTAAATCTTAATAAACCTGTTCTCTTCCCACTTGCAAATGCAATAATACAATTACAAATGTCTTCACCTTCCTACTTTGTCTACATCACTCGTACAGTAATCTATGCAACCAAGTGGATTGAGAGTTAGAAGGCTGCAACTATTTCTTCTGTCTTCTGAGCAATCTAAACCATTTTTGCGCATATAATGATTAGTGTTGTCACAAGTTAGAGAGTTACCCTGCGATATGGGATGCGCTACTATGATCAATAAATAAAAAGATCTTGTCCGAGCAGACCTAATGGCATCTGTTCCGTAGCATACACCAATTTTTGATCTCCGGTTACCTGCAATAATGCATTTATTAACAATTTTCAAAAATTTACAAACATAAAAAAGTTGTTTCTATGTTTTTAAACAAGTTTTCATTCCTTCCTCACTTCTCCACCTCCTTTGGTCACCACCCACCACCAATCACCACCACTGGCGAGTCCCCCTCCACCTCTGACCACCACCCCATCAGCTGGTCACCACCTCTAGAGAGTCCAGTTCTCCTCCAGGCTCCAACCCCCTCAGGCCACCCCCTCCTCACTCGTTTCCAAAAACGGGTGTTTAAACAAGTTATTTATTTTTGTTTTTACCAAAAATAAACATAAATATGCTTAATGGTTTTAACGTTATCAAACAATACCAAAATTGCCTCTTTAGACACTCATTACTGATTCTCTTCTCTTGCAAAATAAATATAAAACTAAGGCAAGTAAGTACCGTTACAAACTGAATGAAACATGGCAACTTAAGAAACTTGCTAAATGCCTTTCACTGGCTCAATCACTGCAAAGAGATGAAGAAAAAAAATAAAAAAAATTAATTGGTTATAATAAACAAGGGACGATGTATAGAAAACAGACCTCAAGAAACTCACAATGTTAAAGGCTTGGGAAGTGCAGGAGATGGGGTGACTATTGCCGGGCTCAGATCTGTTGAGATATGCTGAAAAGAATGCATATCAGAGAAATCACTTCTCACTGATCGGAAAAACTCTGACCCTGGAGGGGTAAAAAATGTATCAGAACCTCCCCTTGCCAACTTCAGAGCAGCAGGGTGGGTATTAACTCCACCGCTTACATTAAAGATGTTGGTACCTGCCTATTACAACAGGAAGTTTTATTTTAGTCGTTCACAGATTACTCATTCTAAACTGCTACGATTGGCATAGATATCTTGAGTAGGGCCCCTACAAAATATAGGTCTCCCCTGATTATGATAATTGCATATATCACAATTGCTACTTGTAGACACTACTGTGGAGTGGGGTCCAGTAAAGAATTAGAAAAAGAGGTTAACAAGCGAAGGATTCATACATTAGACAATTCTTTGATGTGTACAATGATGATTGTAATATCATCTGTCCGAGTTTCATGCTGTAACCATTGTTTGTATGATTCTCCAGCAATAGCGGAACATGCATCTCGAGGATCAGTGTATCTTGAGACCTAAACAAACGGTGAAGGGAAAAAATGGAAAAACAGAAACAGAAAAACAAAAATCAGAAAAATTGAGCAAGGAGTGCAACTATGGATAAAAAATAAGTCACAAGCGAAATATTTAAACATCAAACCATAGTTCAAAATTCTAGGAAGGAAAAACACACACAAGTTCAGGAAATTATCTGATAAAAAAGTATAACAAGTGCCCGCTATTGATGTACCTTGTCAAAATAAACTATTTAAAGCAATCAATTGGTTTAGGGCCTTATCATATCAATTAACTTTCAAAAATAACATATTAATCAGGATTGAAGGCTGATTAGCTTTTTGATTCATATCACAAAGGAGATAAGCTTCTACAAGAGACTCAATCACCATAGTAACAAACTGATCAAAATTCAACAGCTAAACAAGATTGAAGTGAACAGAAAAATATGGAAGGTTACACACGATTAAGAAAAGATGATAGTATGCAATAAATAGTAACTAATTATAACAAAAGAACAAAATACCATTTTTGAATGTTGTTGAGGGTAATCACATACCATTTCCACAACAGTTTGGCTTGAGAGGAACTCGAAAACGCCATCACTTGCGACTACAAAGAACAGATGATTAGGTGTAAGCTGAACTGTTAAAACCTCAGGAAGTGCAATAACGCCAATCCTCTCTGCTTCACTATCCCCTACACTCCGCGTAAATGCAGTTCCGGGGTACATCGCATTTTGAACCCACAACCTCGGTGGATCAGCACCTTCAGTCTCTTCATCACCCCATGTTTGGATACTCGGATCGCTATTTCCTTCCACTTGATCAACAGTCAAAACCCTGGCCCCACAAAGCTTCACCCTCTCACATTCATCTTCCCGAAAAGGTGTCTGATCGTGAGACAGATCTTTGGAAATAATCTGATTCCCATCCTTACTGGCAATTACAGCTCTTGAATCACCCACATTCGCCACATAAAGCTTATCCCCAATAACAAGAACAGTAATTGCAGTTGTACCACTCAGCGAATCGTCTATGTCACTATTATGCAGTTCCTCATTTGTTGATAAAAATGCAGAATTATAAGCTTTAACAGGATCATCTAACAATGTCGGGTCACCGGATAGAATTTCAATTAACCTATTCTTAACGAAATTTGAACATTCTGTACCGAAATGTCCATGCCCATCAAACACACCAAAGAAATGGACATTAGGGTTGCCTTGAATGTTCTTTTTGATACAGAAACTATCTTGGTTTTCTTTATCAGGTGCATCTGGGTAGTACCCTCGTTGCGTGAGGGCTGAATACTCCAACCGGAAGTTTTTAGAAGGAACAAGAACAAAATCTAATGATCTATTTGCAAGTATATGTTTTCCATGGCAAGTATATTTACCCAAATCTTGAAATTCCCTGTCATCCCCATCTTGAAATTCGCCGTTATCCCCATCTAAAGATTTTGGGGATCGGCCACAACACTTGCCATGGACACAACCCATAATTTTTGACGCAACATGAACAGCCTAATGAATCAAATTGAAATGCATAACTCCTAAGAGAAACCTTCAAAGAAATCCAATTCTTGGTGACAATTGGCCAAGTGGGTACTCCGTAGATTCAACGTTCTGGGGGTCACACAAGGATTTTTCCATAGAACCAACAAGAATTAAGGATCAAATAAACAAACCCTACAAGCAAAACACCCCCAAAAGCCGTGTCTGTGAACAGAATTAATGAATTATGCTTTAAAGATGATGATTGGCATCTGGGTTTTCCAAGAAAAGGGGTTTTGTAGAGAAGTTTCACAAAATTAGGATAACCCCTTCAACAAACAATGATCAAAGAGGAGGAGAATTTTGATTTGGTACAAAGAAACCCTTTTTTGGGTAAGTAAAATTTTTTTTCGGTACGTAAGTACAAAGAAGCTCGATCAAAAAAAAAAAAGTACAAAGAAACCCATCAAGGAAAAAAGGGCATGAAAAATCAAACCTTCAAAGGAATCCAATTCTTGGTTGAAAATGGCCAAGTGGGTACTTCAAAGATTCATCATTCTGGTGGTTACACAAGGGGTTTTGCATAGAATCAACAAGAATTAAGGATCAACAAAAAAAACCCTAGAAGCAAACCACTTCAAAAAAACCCTGCTTTTGGACAGAATTATGGTTTACAGATGATGATTGTCATCTGGGTTTTCCAAGAAAAGGGGTTTTGCAGAGAGGTTCCACAAGATTGGAATAACCCCTTTAACGAAAAATGATTAAAGAGATAGAATTTTGATTTGGTACAAAGGAGAAGGGCACAAAAAACCAACCCTACGAAGCAAAAGGTAGAAACTTTTCTGCTTTTGATTTGATCAAACTATGCTTTCTTGTCATTAGAGAGGGGAGAGGACGTGCAGGGTGGATTGTTGTGGGGCCTACACAAAGATTGTGCTTTTGCCAGTGGAAGATCAAAGGCTCAAAATTCAAATGAAATGAAAACTCGAGACAGAGAGAGGGAGAGAGAAAACAACAGATAACGGTCAATTAGGGGTCTGATTGGGATTATGCTGTTTTTAATTTACAGAGCTCCAATTAGATTTTCTACAGTACAGCTCTGATAGGTTGTCCAGCAATAAAAAAAGACAAAAAAAAAAAAAAAAAAGACAAATTAAAATTCTATTAGAGATCTTTTTTTAGAGATTTAAATCATTTTTTTTTAATTTATTCATTTTTTTAGTTTATATTTATAAAAATTTTATAAATTAATTTTTATTTATTTTTAGAAAATCATAAATTATAAACATATTTGGTTTGAATAAAATGTTTAAAAACATAAACTAAAAAATATATTTGTTCATACTTAAAATATTTATATTTATTTTTATTATTTATGACAATAGGATCACACACGTTATAATTGAAAAAATAATAATTAAAAAAATAATTGAAAAAAAATTTAATTGGGAAAAAAATTAATTGAAAAAAAAAATTATTTGAAAATAAAAATTGAAAACTGAAAACGTAAACACATTTTTTGAGTTTACGTTTTTTTCTCAAATTTATAAACTGCGACAACCATTTATAAACCAAAAAAATTATCAAACAAATTTTTATGATAATTTTTAAAATTTTTGTAAATATAAAATCATCAGACCCTATCAATTTTGATTTTTTTTTTTTTTTTTACTCTTTACTAGTTTTAATCATTACTTCTAATACTTTTTTAGTCGCAATTGTTGGAAATTTTATAAAGAGGTAGTTGTGAATTGAAATAGACTTCATTTTGTGTTTTTTTGTTTTGAAGGAATGGTCAAACCTCCATTTGAATGAAAGGGTACAAACCTTTCATGGTGTCTCTTTATTTTAAAGGAAGGGGTATGTCCCTTCTTCATACCTTTTCTATTCAAATTGAATAAGTGCCAACAAAGCCTATATAAAGGCAGCCCCATTCCAATTTTGATTGAATCCAAAAAATTGAGTCTAAAATTCTTGTCTCTTTGCTGTCCATTTTCTTTTAGTGCATTATTCTTCATATAAAATATTAGGAATAAATTTCAGAGAGTTATAGAACACAAGGTTCTAGTTCGCCGGACAAATTTGTTTGAAGTGCTTCTACAAATTTGTGAAGATCATTGTATCCTGGGAGATAGACGCCACTCAACCGTAAGCACCGTAGCGGGGCGAATCTGTCTTAAGGACAGAGTGTCACACACTCGACTTGATCTTGTAATTTTATTTGGTTCGACAAAATAAATCCGGTATGTTATTTATTTATTTTGAAATAAAGTGTGTAAATTGGTTAAATCATTATATGGTTTAAAACAAGCGCCAAAGCAATGGCATGAGAAATTTGACAAGGCAATGATGTCAAATGGATTTAAAATTAATGAGTGTGACAAATGTGTTTATATTAAAAACACAGACAAAAATTATGTGATTGTATGTCTTTATGTGGATGATATGCTCATCATAGGTAGTAATAACGTACCATGATATAATTCAAGTGGCTCCGTACTTCTTTTCAATTGAATGAAAAGGAGTTTTTAGATAATTTTGCCTCAACGCAAACTTCACATTTATGATTGAATCAATGTTAAATTTAGATAAACATTCCACTATTAATAATCTACGCAAAGATACATATTTAACATGTCTAGTCTGCCGTGCCATAAATTTGAAGACTCAAGCATAGATAGAAGAGAGAATGTAATATTATTAATAACTGAGGGTACAATGGCCATTACATTTAACTTGAAAAGGTCATCAAACATGTAACCTTTTCCTACAACATCTGCGTTTGGTAAGTACAAACTTGTCACTTTCAAAAACTAGTCTAAAACCATTTCTTACTTCAACAAAGATCGGAAACTAAATTCTTGCTTAATGTCCGGTATATGTCAGCACAATGTTGAAAGTGAGTTGTTCCTTTCCACCCGATGTCGTCTTGAGATACAATCTTTCCTGTGCCTGCAACTTTGGAAGTTGAGGAGTTGCTCATAAAGAGTTGTTCACCATGTCCACTATAGAATAAGATGTGAACATCTTTTTGTCGGCACAAATATGGCGAGTACAGCACCAGTGTCCACCACCATTCTTTAGGAATCTTCCGACAAGATTTGCCTCGAAACAACTGCAGAAAGATTGATATCATTCGCTATTACCATTAGAATAATATTGTCCATTTCAGTCATGTGGGCTTGAGCAGGCTTCTTGCTTGTTCTTCTTTTGCTTTTGCCTTTGCTACGACAATCTTTGGCCCGATGTCTCCTCTTGTCACAAGTGTAACATTTGCCATTAAACTTGTACTTTTTTTATTATCCCCCCCTTTAGAAGCCTTGTGATAACTTTCTCCAGAAAGACTTTCGTGTTCTTGGTTTTTGGAAGCATGTTTCCACCACATTTGCCTTAGACTCCATAGGATGCTTACCAGTCCGCTTTTCAGAATTTGCGGTTGTCCCTCCTCATTCTCAAACGCACAATTTATAATCTGTCTATTAGAATTTCTTGCGCTTGTGTTTTGAAGGTAGTTCTTGAATCTTCCAGCCTTTGGTAATTTTCAATTAAGGCTGCAACTTGGAAAAGGATTTCACTGAGAGACATGTCTTCATGCGGTGAATGTCATGCAGAATGAATTGGAAATCTTCGAGCTTGGCTGATCACAGTTTTTGAATCAACTATACAAAATCCAAGAACTGCCAACACAAATTTCTTTGAGCCGGCATATCTTCCTTTTGTACTTTTCTCTCAACGATTTCCCAAAGTTCCTTTGCTGTTCTTGGATGTGACTGTAGACAGTTGTTATAATGTATTGTTGTCTTGAAGCCGTTCAAGAACGTATATTTCGGCAAAGGAAATCGGCATGTTTCCAAGCATCAACGCAAACAACAGCTTGCCGGTCCGGTTTCAATCTCTTTCAGGATAGGAGCATCTTCACGGAGAAAACGAGCCAGGATCAGAGTTGTTTAAGAGTAGAACAACATTTTCTGTTGCCATGATTTTAAAGTCGTTCCTGAGACTTCTCTGGCTTCTTCTCATGATTATTGGTACTTGTCATCACAGGAGAGGTGGGTTGTGTGCAATTGCAGCCACCGACAGTAGTACTTGTTTGGCATTTGTTTCAGGAGCCATCAATTCTAATTTATTTAAAACAATTTATAATTAAAATTTTCACTACACAGAAAATTAAACCAAATTCACAGAATAAATTCGTTATTAAAAATAAAAAAATAAGAATGTAACTTTTATTTTTCAATAATTTGAAAATAAAATAAAATTTTATTTAAAAAATTAATTCCACACAGAAAAATAAGTTCTGTAAAATAAAAGAAAATAAAAACTATAACTTTTATTTTTCAATTAATTTGGAAATAAAATAAAATTTTATTTAACCAAATTATTCCATACAAGAAATTAAATTCTGTAAATAAAAGAAATAAAAAAATAACTTTTATTTTCAATTAATTTGGAAATAAAATAAAATCTTTATTCAACCAAATTATTCTACACAGAAAATTAATTTCTATAGCACTTCAATAATTGAAATACTAAAACAGAAATTTTAAGTTAATGAAAACTCAGAAATAATTTCTAAAAATCCAAAATTAATTTCTGAAAAATTCCACAAAAATATATTCTGAATTGTTAATGACACCAGTATCGTACTACTAGGGTTGTCAAAGAAAAGAGACAGTATATTCACTATTTGTCAAATAGCATATTAATCACTATTTGTTTTCAACCAGGAATATTAATTTTGTAAATCCACAAAATAAATAATTCTTCTTCCGAAATTATTTACGAAGAATGAAAAAAAAAAGGAAACAAACGAAAAATTCTGTAAACAGAATAATTCAAATCTGTCTTAAGATTGTAGAAACAATTCTATCTGTGTAAATAAAATAACTTAAAATAATTCAAACAAAATAAATAAAACTACAGAATTTATTTTTGTTGAAATCCAATCAATAATTTAAAGACCAAGTCGAATGTGTGACACTCTGTCATTAAGACAGATTCGCCCCGCTACGGTGCTTGACCGGTTTGATGTCGCCTATTCTCCCAAAGATTATCTCAATCATCACAAAAATTTGAGTTAAAGCACTTCAAACAAATTTGTCCGGCGAACTAGAACCTTGTGTTCTATAAACTCTCTGAAATTTATTCCTAATATTTTATATGAAGAATAATGGCACTAAAAGAAAATGGACAGCAAAGAGACAAGAATTTTAGACTCAATTTTTGGATTCAATCAAAATTTGGAATGGGGCTGCCAGTTTATATAGGCTTTGTTTGGCACTTATTCAATTTGAATAGAAAAGGTATGAAGAAGGGACATACCCCTTCCTTTAAAATAAAGAGAACACATGAAAGGTTTGTACCTTTCATTCAAATGGAGGTTTGACCATTCCTTCAAACAAAAAAAACACAAAATGAGTCTATTTTCAATCACACACCTCTTTATAAATTTTCCAACAATTGCGACTAAAAAAGTATTAGAAGTAATGATTAAACTATAAAGAGTAAAAAAAAAAAAAAAAATCAAAATGATAGCTGAATGATTTATATTTACAAAAATTTTAAAAATTATCATAAAAATTTGTTGATAATTTTTGGTTTATAAAATGGTTGGTCGCAGTTTATAAATTTGAGAAAAAACGTAAACTCAAAAAATGTGTTTACGTTTTCAGTTTTAATTTTTATTTTCAAATAATTTTTTTTTTTCAATTAATTTTTTTTCCCAATTAATTTTTTTTTCAATTATTTTTTTAATTATTATTTTTCAATTATAACGGTGTGATCCTATTGTCATAAATAATAAAAATAAATATAAATATTTTAAGTATGAACAAATATATTTTTTAGTTTATGTTTTTAAACATTTTATTCAAACCAAATATGTTTATAATTATTATTTCTAAAAATAAATAAAAAAATTAAATATAAAATTTTATAAATAAAATTAAAAAAAGTGAATAAATTA